GGGACACCTGGCTCCCCGGAGCGGCGGGTGGGGGCTCGGTCACTCATGGGGGCGGGGAGGAGGATCGACGCGACCTCGGGTCTCTGCCTTTCCCGAGGGTCGACCCCACTGACATTCCGCGCCCGCCCCTCGTCCTGTCTCCCAGTCCCATCCTTGCTGTCAGGCCTCGCGGGCTCCTGGAGCTGTCATTCCTGGACAGGTTACCCCCATGGCTCCCTTTCTCTTCACTTGCTTCTGCCCCAGCTCTCGGGAAACCTGTTTACTGACCTTACTTCCCCCGTTCCAGTTCTGCCTTGCTCTGATTCTATGAAATCTGACCCTCTCCTGGGGCACTGTGACAAGAAGGAGGGAAGAAGCGACCTTACTCCGGAGCAGACTCCTGTCCTGCCTATGCCCCACCCAGGACAGGGCCCAGGGTTCTCTGACAGATGGAACATGACTCGTCCCTGTGTCCTTGGACTACTCATTTCAAGAATATGGCCCTTTTTCTGTCCAACAGCACTACTGCAAAACTTTCTTCTGCAGGTGTCTTGCCACTCATATATTTGAGAAAAGAGGGAAATGGAAGCCCTAGAACCCAAAATTCAGTAGGCATGGGATCATCCCAGAATCAGGTTAGGGCTGCCACCTTAACTGCCCAGGTGCTGATTCTGCTGAACATCTCCAGAAATGCAGACTACAGACAGCCACCCACACTCTCCATTGCTAAGACTTTATCAGCACTCCCACAGGTTATCTCAGGACCAAGCTATCGCTCCTTGGCCTGGCGAGGCTGAAGCTGACCCAGTGAGCTTGCAGAAAGGCTTCCTATAAAGGGACTCAGCTACTAGGGGAGATGGAGAAATAGGTCTGAGACAGATACTTAGCTAGGGATAAAGCCCTGGGGGAGGATTTGCTGAAGGAGCTATAGAATAAGTGGTGAAAAGGGGAAATTAGTGACCTATGTGTTAAAAGTGAAGAAAACAGGGTGGAATTCAGAGAAAAGAGCTAAAATGGAAATTCCCTTTATTGCTTTATTGGGAATTTTCCTTTCTCATAAGTCTCCTGAAAGGAAACCTCTTAAGCTGGGAATCAGTCCAGGGTGCCTCCATGAGATTCTGAGCCATCTTTGGGCTTCTGAGATGAAAGAATTTGTTTTTCTTGTGCATTGGGCTTGGGGTTTCCATCTGATTCTTTTGTCAAGGACAAATAGGCAAGAAAAGAAATGACTTGACATCTGTCATAACCTATTGTAGTCTTCTGAGTTCTTATAAACATTACTGAATGGATGTTAGTGAGCTAGAGCAGTTACCAAGGTTCTGACCTGTTCTTGGAAGACTGTCATTGGTCCTGACTGCTTGGATATTGAATAAAATACAAAAATGTGCTGCCAAGTAGAGAGGGGTTCTGTACAGTCTCATAATAGACTACTTCTCTGCCATAAGGCAGACAGGGCTTATCACAAGTGGACCTGGCCTGCTCTTAAGATGTCCAAAGAAAAGAAGATCCCGCAACCTGGTTTTGTGAAGTACGATTATCATGAAAAAAATTTAATCTATACTAAATGTCTTCTTTTACAATCAAAAATTTCTTCTTGATCTATATAGAGATAGAATACAGTTCTTTTTATTCATTGGTAGTGTCATTCATCAGCTGCATTCTTTCTTTAGACAAGCAATAGCTATGTCCATCATTTTTAAATCAAGCTATATTTCCCATCCTTTTCTTGACTTCTGTTTCTTCTAATGAACATACATACACTGGTGTCTCCATACCCTTCTTTTTTTTTTTTCTGGAGAGGTTTTTTGCTATAGGGCATGTGTGCTCACAAAAAAGACAGAGAGAGACAGAGAGACAAAAAGTGAGAAATCACACCCTAGACAGAAAGTAAGAAACCCCCCAGGGGGGATGGCCACACCACAATCCATTCTCCTCCATTCTCCTCTCAGGATCTTGGGCACGCACGCACACGCGCCCGGCATGAGTTTTAAGCCACTGGGTCTGGGATGTGAACCGCGGTTGACTACATGGGAGTCCAGCGACAGAGCCATTACGCTAACTGCTGGCCCCTCCATACCCTTCTTTAAAACGGAATATATTGGGACCAGCAGTTGGCGTAATGGCTAAGTCGCTGGATTCCCATGTAGCAGAGCCTGGTTCAAGTACCAGACCCGGTAGCTTAAAATCACGCCAGGTGCATATGCATGCGTGCCCAAGATCCCAAGAGGAGAATGGAAGAGAAGGGACTGCAACATGACTGTCCCCCCTGGGGGGCGATTTCTCCCTTCCTGTCTCTGTCTCTCTCTGTCTTTCTGGCGAGTGCATGCACCCTATAGCAAAAACCTCTCCAAAAATAAATAAATAAATAAATGGAATATATTTTTTTCCTAATGAGATCTGGCTGGTTCCTGCCAAAAAAATTGGCTTGTTCTTGTGTATCAAATCACAGGGCTGTTAATTCACCTTAGGGTCATGTTAACAGCACTGTTTACCCCCCTTCCCACTTCTGGTCTAAACCCATTCTATTTTCCTCTACTTTTCTTAATTAACATCAGTTGCTCACTGACCAACTATTTCTCTTACCTGTGGGGGTTGCTTTGTAGTCTTTTATCTGCTTTCTATATGATCTTTCTAATATATACTCTACCAGTTCTCATTTTCTATATGAGGATGACAGACCATGTGTCTCTTTGTTGAGACTTGTCTTTTTCTGCCTGATAAAAGAGGTGTGTACTCCTTATGCACATACAACCCTTGAATGGGTCCCCCCACCTATAGTAATCTTTTTGTTTTAAACGAATTGATGAGCATGTTATTTGTGGCAGTAACTCTTATGTGTGATTACATCTATCTTCTATGAGCGTAGGTCTATTGTATTCCTTTCTGCCTGTTTCCAGATTCCTTACTTACCTATACTTTCAGTGGTTGAGATTAAGTGGGTAGTTTTGAATTTCTATGTCTGTTCCTTTTACTTTTTAATAATGTTCTTATAGCTTTCAGGGATATTCAGTTTTTACTGTGAAGTCCCCCATATAGTTAGTGATTTTGCTATGCAGCACCTGCCAGTTTCTTAGTTCCTCTAAGAAACTTAGCTCAGGCTCAGTCGATTGGAATAAATCTTTTAAAGTTGGGCATCTATCAAGCTCCTCCTGTTCAGTTTAATCTTTTATCTCTGTGGCTATTCTCTGTAGCTCCTTTAGAAATATTACCCCTTTCCATTTTCATAGGCATAACTGATAGGAAATTTGTTCTGGTTTCATTTTGGGTTCACAGCAAAAAAATGCTTTCAGAACAGACAGCAGTTCTGGGGACAGGATGGGAATCAATGAATGTACAGCTGGATGGAGCAGAGCATCAGGTGGAAAGGGGAAGCCGGGAAGAGGGCCCATGGAGAACAGCTCCAGGGCCACTAGAGCATCTGTGCTGTGAACTTGAAGAGGAGCCACAGTCCCTTCAGGAGAAGGGTAAGAGACCACAGGGTTTTGGGGAAGCACAATATGTAGAGTAGTGTCCTAATCTCTATTCAAAACGTAGACTCAAAAAATACACATATTCTAGAGCATCACAAATACTAAGACTAGTCCATTCTTCCTGTGCCCTAGTCATGGGTACATAATGGGCTGCTGGATCTCCATACTATGTAACTGGGCTTCTCTTATTTCTTACATAATCACTTCTTCTACATGAAGTGCATAATTAGTGAGATGAAGAAAGTGATAGTAACATTGATTCCTTACCCATCTAGTAAGATGCACTTAATTAGATAAAAATTACTTTCAAATGACATAAACTCAAACCACAGCTAGTCTAAGTAAAATCTACCTAATAACATTTTTTTTGAGGGGCTTTTGTCATAGGACGCATGCACTCGCCAGAGAGACAGAGAGAGACAGAGATACAGAAAGCGAGAAATCATCCCCCAGGAGGGATGGCCACACCACAATCCCTTCTCCTCCATTCTCCTCTTGGGACCTTGGGCGCGCACACACACCCACCCGGCGTGAGTTTAAGCCACTGGGTCCAGGGTTTGAACTGCGGTCGACTACATGGGAGTCCAGCGACATAGCCATTACGCTCACTGCTGGTCCTCCTAATAACATTTTGAGTGAAGTCCTCATTCATTTGAGTTTAACCAATGGGCATAGTTATAGGAGAAAATGTGATCCTTAAGCCCCTCTAAAATGAGGTCCAGAATCTTTTAGAAAAGGGTGGATAGTTCACTTCTAATGGTTCCTCTCTTCCCTCACCAGCTCAGTCTGCTCCCTGGGTTCCTGCAGTTCCCCAGGAGGGGAGCACTGGAGATTGGGAGATGGCAGCTGCACTTCTTGCAGCTGGTTCACAGGTGGGCCATGCTTCCTCTGCTTCTCCAAGATCTCTTCATTGCTGCCATCTATAGCTTTAGCATCATCCCATTGATTTGTGAGTTCACATGATTACTAATAGTATGATCTTATAATTGAACAGCTTCTATCCCTTTCCAAAGGGATTCTAAGAACCTTGGAAAATTAATGGAGGCATAACGAGAAGAGGGAATTCCTTGAGGTTAGGATTTTTAAATAGATGGCTTTGTTATTCACAAGGGGATTGTTAAGAATAATTAATTAGCTTCCTTTGAGAAATAAGTCTATAAAGATCAGTAAGAGAGGATCTAAAGAAGGCTTAGAAAGAACATAAAGTGGACAGGATTGGGTAGATGATGGAACATTGATGAAAAGGAAGAAAAAAGAAATATGAAGAGGAGTAGAACCAGAGAGAGAAAATAGGTTTAGATTTAGAAGACAGTAGGAGAGCCACAGAAGGATAATAATAGTAGTAGTAACTATATTTCCAGAGTGCTTAGTATACATACTGTTTTCAGAGTGATTTATATATGTTAACTCATTTAACTCTGATAACAACTAAATTATCCCATTTTACAGATGAAAAAAATTGAAGCAGAAAAAGATTAAGGGACTTTGTAAGGTCATACTGCTAGTAAGTAGCAAAGCTAAAAGTCTTTTGGTTCCAGAGGCTGGACTCCTGATAACCATACTGTGTTGCCTCAGAAGATAAGGATATTGCATTACCCAGGAGGCAAGAAAGAATATGTTGTCTATGCCACTTTATACTGATAGAAAAAGACAGGTCAAGTGGAGGAAGGAAGAGATGGTTGAAAGTTTCTGCAATAAAAAGAGAAAGGTAGTGAGGAGAGACTGAGTAGATACCTGTAGTTAAACAGAGGAAGTAATGAGTTTATGGTGCCTCTGACTTTTCATGGTCCCACTTGGGAAAAGTCCTTTAGCATCATTGCCTTCACTCAGTCCTTAATATCTATCTTTATTCTGCTCTTCACTCCCCCTTTACGAAAACTATGTGCCTTGACCAGGGACCTCTGGGCAATTCTGCTCCTAGATCCTCTCTTACCCTCGTTCCTCTACAACTTCAGCCTTTTATATCGAAATCATGTTTTTCTTAAGGAATAACTGCTGATAGCAGACACTACATTTTGTTTCAGGGCCTCGTCACCATTAAGGATGTGTCACTGTGCTTCTCTCAGGAGGAATGGCGGAGCCTGGATCCCTCTCAGACAGACTTTTATGGAGAATACGTCATGCAGGAAAATTGTGGCATAGTGGTCTCTCTGAGTAAGCATGACTTTCCCAGTTACTAAAAGATCATATTCTGGGAGGATGGAGCCATCTGCTTTGGGGCTGTTGAATAGTGTCTGTCTAGGGTTCTTCCCTTGGCAGGGAATCTGTCTAGGCTTCCACCAAAGAAGGAATTCTAGGTCTATTCCCAAGAGAATGTAAGTAAGGCTTTTCTTCCTTTTTTTTTTTTTTTTTTTCAAGTAACAAGTAATACTGAATTATGAAGTAAACAACTTGGGATTCTTCTTGGTTAGGAATTGGGAGAGTCTTACAAAGCAGTCAGAAGGACATCTGAAAAGGAGTATTTGGAAATTTGGGAACCATCCAGGGAAAAACAAGTATGGGAATTGCCCAAGAAAAGGTAATTAAGCTTTTTCTTCTTTTTTTTTTTTTTTTTTTTTTCAAGTAACAAGTAATACTGAATTATGAAGTAAACAACTTGGGATTCTTCTTGGTTAGGAATTGGGAGAGTCTTACAAAGCAGTCAGAAGGACATCTGAAAAGGAGTATTTGGAAATTTGGGAACCATCCAGGGAAAAACAAGTATGGGAAATGGGATAGTTATAGTAGGACTAAAGTAAAGTTAGGACCAGAAAAGAGAGTGTGATTTTTCTAAGACAAAGAAGAAGTGGAACTGTGGTGGTGGTGGTAGGAAGGGGTACAGGAATAAGGTACAATTTCAAGGAATAATGTAGGAAACAGCCTTTCTTAGAAATATAGAATTGCCATTGAAGTAATTGATATCTCTATTTTCCTTTCCCATGGGCAGGATTTCCGATTCCCAAACTGGACATGCTTTCTCAACTAGAAGGAGGAGAAGAACAGTGGGTTCCTGACCCCCAAGACTTAGAGGAAAGGGACATTCTAAGGGTCACATACACAGGTGAGGATTTAGAATGGACTTTTAGCCACTGCCTTTACCTCTCTTGGGGTGTCATCAAAATATGTCCTTCTAATCCCTCCTCTGCCTCAGAGAATCTAAAGTTCAAGGACCTTTTCTTCAAATGCAAGGCAATGTAGCCGAATATTTCAGAGGACAGTCTCTTGAGCTTAGCTTTGTGGATTTGAATTTCAGACCTTGGATCTTGAGAAAGTAATTAACCTCCCTTTGTTTCCTTATCTATACTTACTGTAAGAATTATATATGTTAGCATATTCAAGTAGTTGAACAGTGCTAAGTAATGTTAGTTGTTGTCAGTAAATGTTAGTTGTTGTTATTGAACCTTCTTCCCATTTCAGGAGTACCTTCTATGTCTCTAGTATTGTTGACAGGTTATCAATGATGACTGCAACACAGTCTTTAACTCCCCCCTGTGTTAAGGCAGAAAGATGATGATTGGTAGCAATAAATAATAGTAAATCAGTAATGATAATAAATAACAATAGCATATACCATTTACTAAGTGCTTGCTGTGCACAGGTGCTGGTATCTATCTTATAACAGCCTTGATCAAAGCATGCTATTATTCCCATTTTACAGAAGAAATGAAGGCTTAGAGAAGTAGAAAATATGGGATTCATAATTGGGCAATCTGCCTCCTAAACCTGTGCCTTTAACCTCCACATCTACTGCACTATCTTATACAGCATAAAATATGTTTTCTTAGCTCTTCTCAGGTGAGGTTTGGACTCTGACAGGCATATACATCCTCACCTATGACCTGAGTCCTGGGGTGTTCTCTTGTGACCCCCCTCTTGGGGCTGGTATTTTCCCTTCTCCACAGGTGATGGAAGCGAACATGAGGGAGATACCCCTGAACTAGAAGCAGAACCTCCCAGGATGTTATCCAGTGTGTCCGAAGATACTGTTCTCTGGAACCCCGAACAGGATGAGAACTGGGATTCCATGCCCAGAAGTTCTAGAGGAATGCACCCGAACCCACCTTTTCTTCAGGAAAATAGTTTCTCAAACCTTCTGTGTAGCACAGAGATGGATTCTCTGTTAAGACCTCACACATGCCCCCAGTGTGGGAAACAATTTGTGTGGGGCTCCCACCTTACCAGGCATCAGCAAATACACACTGGAGAGAGGCCCTACAGCTGCCTCAAGTGTGAGAAGAGCTTTGGGCGAAGACATCACCTAATTCGGCACCAGAAAACCCACCTACATGACAAGCCCAGCAGATGCGCCGAGTGTGGCAAGAATTTCCGATGCAATTCCCATCTGGCTAGCCACCAGAGAGTGCATGCAGAAGGCAAATCCTGTGAGGGCCAAGAGGTTGAAGAGACCCCTGGGTCTAGGAAACGGCAGCGCACCCCAGCGGTGCCAAAGTGCCATGTGTGCACCGAATGTGGGAAGAGCTTTGGCCGAAGGCACCACCTGGTGAGGCATTGGTTGACCCACACTGGGGAAAAGCCCTTCCAGTGCCCTCGCTGTGAGAAGAGTTTTGGCCGCAAACATCACCTGGATAGACACCTGCTGACTCACCAGGGACAAAATCCCAGGAGTACCTGGGACAGAGGGATGTCTGTCTTTTGAAATCTGTTTCTGCTGCAACTCTAGTCAAGTCTATTAACTGGTGCTACCAAGAGTTACTGCCAGGGCTACTGCCCCCTCCTGTACCCCAGTGGCCAGAATCATGATTCCTGGCCCCAACCCTTGAAAGATGAGTTTTTTAGCATTGGCCAGAATATTTCTCACCAGTTCTGTGAGATACTACATGAAAACAGAATTCATGGGAAGCAGAATTCATGTACTTTTAGGGAACAGTGCATATTGCATGGGCTGATATTCAGCCTGAGCCCATTCTCAAGGGTAGAGTGGCATCAGCATTTTATGGCTAAGGTCCATTCTGATTGGTCTGTGCCATATCAGTTGTTAAATATTTTGAGTATCACCCTTATATACTTTAATTATTATATTTTCTCTGTATAGAAACAGAGAAAGAAAGACCATTTTACCATATCTGAAAAATTCTGTAGTAGAGCAAAGTTTTAAGTTTCTGTTATTGAATTGTTTTCTAAATATATTCGACCTTGGTATCCTTTCTATTTCACATCCCACAGAACTGGTGACTCTGAAACACACTTTGGTATACCATGGGCTAGAGAGTAATGAGGAAACAAGAAAGATAGTGATCAAGCGCCCGATTCCAACCCCCTCCACTTTATCCTTATGAAAGTTAGGGGGAAGACCTTATTCCTGTGTGGGTCAATCACCGTATTTACATCTACACTTCTCATTCCTACCTGCTAAAAGTGGAATAACCTTTTCATCCCTTATTCCTACTCCCTTCATCTTGCACATACATGTATCCAACTGAGAGATCACATTACAATACTAAGAGATATATGTTACACTCCCCAAGTAACCCAGGCCCACACAGAAGAAAAAACTTTATCCCCCTTAAACCCCTCTCCTCTGAACTGTGTCTTTTTGTGTACATGTGTATATGTGTGCTTCGTCTTTGAAGAGAGCATGCTAAGTGCAAACTGTACAAGCTAGGTTTTCTAGGGGCTGTGTTCTGGGCATGAGGGTAGTGGGGATTGTATGGGGTTTTTTTTGTCTGGTTTCAGAATAGGAAGTATTCTGAGTGATTAAGGGAGCCCTAATAGAAAGGGTTAAATGATGCATTAAGTTGTGGAGTTGAATACAAAGCTTTCCCCAGTATTACTTAGATCAAGACAGTTGTGGGTACATATGTCTAGGTCTGAATCTTTGGGTCAAAGATTTTTTTTTTTCTACTTGGAAAGAGAGAAAAAGAAGTCTTTAGTAAGGCAAGTCATGTCTTGTTGATTTAAAGCAAAGCACATATGGAAGCTTTGTACTGAGGTTTTTTTTTTTCTTTTTTTTTTTTTTGTCTTATTTCATTTTAAGCGTTGAGAAATTAGGACAGGAGTAATGATTGTGTTTGCAAGGTATTGTTACCACTCTTTTTTGACTTTGATTGCCTCCTTAAAGGAGGAAGACTTATTCCCAAGGATCTCATCCTCCCAGAAACGGAACTTTAGGGAAAATGGCTGTGGCTTAGTTTTTCAGATGATGCAGGGTAACGAGCTTTCTGGTTGGTTTCTCCCTTGGTGTGGACACCAAGACTCTCAACCCTAGGACTTGCATAAGTACCCTAGCATCTGTTGGTTGAAGAGCTGGTCATTGTTTCTCTTTTTATTGATGATTGTGTTAATACCAGTTTTATAATTTAAAAATTATCTTGTATGTAAGAGCAGTTTGGGGTTAGGGAGGAAGAGGAGTAAAGAGGATAAAAGTAGGACATCTTCTCTTTAATGCATAGATTTTGGCTTTTCCCTCAGATGCTTATTTCTCAACCATAAATTGGTGTAATTAACCAGAGAGGCAAGAGGAAGTGAACCACAACAATCTATTGAGTTGTTGGAAAAATAATGACATATTTTTTCACAGAAAAAATACATCATGACTTTTCTGACAACCCAATAATTTAGTGATTGTCCATTTGCTTGGGAGAAACTGGATGAGTCACAGTTCTTCAGAGTCCTGGATCCAAGTGGTATTGAAAATAGGATCGTTTTGCTGACTGGGCTTCATAAAGTAAAAGTGACGTGACCAGTCCAGCCCTAACCCCTTCTAATACTCAAAATAGCCTTCCTTCTTTGCCTGGAATATACTTCTCTTGCTTTTATATTCCTATGACTAAAGAAAAATGGACAGTCCTTTGTAAGTCAGGCTTTGACCTAAGAAAATACTAGGTTCCAATGGTAAAACTAGACTGTACTGTTTCTTTTATCCACCCAGTTTAATATAAATCTTTAATATAAATAAGCTTTACCTAAGCAATGATTTGGAATCTGTTTTGGATCACAGACTTCTTTGGGAATCTTACAGAAACCAGAAACTCACTTTTGAGAAAAATAGATATTTGTAATTCAGTTGTGTATACACATTTAGCAGGTTCAGTGTCCATCCGTGGAGCTGCTAAACTAGCGTCAAAGAAGAGAAATTACCCTGGCCCAATATGGTCATTATGTATTTGAATCAAGAATTACAAGGCAGGGATCACGAACTGTTTTAAAGACTAAGATACCAGAGGCATCAGGATATGAGGATAGAGTCTAGTCTTCAAAGACTAGAAGAGTATTTATTGTTCTCATAAAAGATACAACATGCTGACAAATCCAGTTCCTCGCAAACCTTATTTTAAAGACTTATGGCAAATGATAGTCCTTACTATTAGATTATGCCTCTTAATATCTACATATTAACCTCCAACCTTTTATCTGTTTTATAACTATAGGG